TTTATTTATTTTATCTTGTTTTACTATTTGGGGGTTGGATAGTAAGGTAGTAATTCGCAAGTTTTTCAATTATTTAAGGACCAAGACTGTCGATTTTTCGTTTGGTTGGATGCTGAACTCCCACCTTATCAGAAAGGGTGTTATTTGAAGTTGAAAAGTCAAAATAAGTCCCTTGAAGAGCAATTGAGATGCAAACAAGTCATGGAGAAACTATTGGCTGAACGATTAGAAATGAAGGTTAAGGAGATGGATTTGCTGAAAATCGAGATTGATGAATTGGAGAAGAAGGTTAAGGAATGTACTGAAAATCTGAGGAAAGCAAGGAAAATGTTATTCTGTTTCTGTGCCATGGTTCTTTTACTTTGTAGTTGGTTGATGATTGCTTGATGCTTTTTAGTGGAGCAGAAGATGGTTTATTTTTGGAATATGATCATATTTACTTACAACTGACTGTTTGAAGATGGAGTTGTTGAAGATGAAAGTTATTGTCTACTCGTCGGATTTTGTTGTGCTATTGTAATGAACAATTATGTTATTTGAAGTTGTCATTATGTATGTTGAATTAAGTTTGTTTCGAATATTGTAATGAACAATTTACTGTTTGCTTTTGAATGTAATGTGGACAGTTCAATGCATGTCTATGGGCAGACTGAATGGGACAGTTCAATGCATGTCTATGGGCAGTTTTCAACTTTATTACAAAAGTTGAGTTGATGGGAAATAACAGAGGTGAAGAGACCATACTATACTGTTTTGTTTACGTCATGTTATGCATGATTGAGTCTTGAGGCCTTATTTAAATGCCCAAGCACCCAAAAGCATGGTCTACGAGGCCTTATTTAAATGCCCAAGCACCCAAAAGCATTCAACATCTACGGATTTTTGTTTTAAAAAAAAAAAAATTAAATTTCTATCTTTGCAATGGCTCCCAGCTTTGGAGTAGTGCAGGCCGACTATCTCTACGACCTACATTGGACTCCAAAGCTGGACGAGTTTTTAATCGAGTTTTTGCTCGACGAGAAGCGTGTTGGTTTGTTTGTCCCATTTGCAGCTAACACTAGTAGTATCGTCGATGCTACGAGGGAGCTAAATGGTTGTTGTGGAACCAGTTTCACGTCGGATTATATAAACCAACGTGTTGATACTTTAGGTAGAAGATACCATATATTCTCACAACTTAAGCACAAGGAAGGGGTTGAGTACGATAAGGCGAACAATGTTTACCATGCGTCCGACAACAAGTGGCATCAGTTGGTAAACGTGAGTATTCATAATCTCTCATCCCTTGCGTTATTACAATTTTTTTAGTTGCGAAGTCGAAGTAAATTTTCATTTGCATGTAGTGGAATGACTTTGCGATAGCTTACATGGAGAAAGGCGATCCCCAACATGATAAGATTGTGGAGTTGTTTCACGTGGAGCCACCCTACATACCTCCATTCGAGTATCACGTTTTGTCTGACGACACTGAAGAACCTACAAATGCAAAAAAGGGTCACGACAAATGTGTTGAAATTATAGATGTCGAGGACAACAGTGCATATACTGATCGAAAAGGTAAGTTCGAACCGTACCTTGTTCGAACGGACCTCCCACGCAAAAAAAAACAATCCCGTTCGTGTTTTTTTATGGGCGGTAGTTCAAAGGCCTCAAAACAAAATCATACAATACATAGTCAGACTGGGTCAACTGATGGTTATGTGAATCAGATACCACAGTACGACTTATATGAGTCTCGAACCGATGAAGTAGACTCAAATTCAACGTCCACTGCGTGTTCCGCCACTCCAATGGATTACACGCCGGATTGGCCGGCGTACTAGGTCCTTCATGGGGTTAATCACTTGCTCAGCCGCCATTACTCGTTGTAATATTGTGTTTCCCTTCTTTAATGTTTATGTTTCTAAGCACCTGCTAATTTGCGTAGTAGTTTGTGTTTTTATTGTTTGGTTGTTGGAGTGTTTGGTTGTGGAGCTTATAAAATCAATAATGTTTATTTGTATGTGCCCATAAGAGTTAAACCTTGTGTTTGTAGTCGATGATTTATGTCTTCAATGTTTATGTTGTCGTATATTCGTTTCCATTAAGTTTGATTAGAAGTTATGGATTTTTTTTTTCTTTTTCTTTTCTCCGAATTGGTACACTATGGTATAAGAACTGCATCCCATTTCCAGTTAAGATGTATGGATAATAAACTTAATCGAAATGAATTAGAAACTCCACTTACATATACAATAAAGATGCATTTCAAATGAAATTAAGTTTCTAACATTAACCATTCAAAAACCAACATAGCAACAAGCATTAAGCGAATTCCATGTTTCTAACAACGTTCACAACCGAATCCACATAAGTTCAAATCATGACCCCAAAAAAAGTTTCCAACATCATCCCAAAATGCACATTATCCACTATCATATATTACAAAACCACTACTTTTTCACTTTGAATGTGATGACTTGGTATTGTGGGAGGAGAAAGAAAGTGCAAACATCGCCTAGAACAATGTTGTTGTCATCAATCAACTGCCGTGCACAACCGTTCTGCATGAGTTTCTTGCCGTGACCATGAATGATATCGACCTCATAAGAATTTTCACCATATTGCACGATTGCGGAGTTGTAATTCGAATAGTGACCTTGAATGTAATCCCTCCAAAACCTCATAGGAATGGCCTAACATATGATAGAAGATGGTAAAAAATTTCATATATAAAATATGCAATTTCAATATAACTACACTTCCACATCAAACAACATACCAGACGTGCACGCTCCACGTGAGTTGGCTTGATTTCGACAGAGAACGTGTACTGTGGTAACCTCTCACATCCGTGCCTCTCCAACACACTCACTTGAAAGTCGAACATGGTCCTGGGACTGAAAACCAGAAAGTATGCCAAACCTATATCTTCTGATCTAATGAAATCTTTCCACCC